TCAGTGGAAGACCAAAATTTAGTTTTTCGAATATTTTTACGTTTTTTTTATTTTAAACATATTGAAATTAAATTATATATTGAATTTTAAACAATAAATATTGAACATTGAAGATATTGAAAGTTTTATTTTGTTATAATAATCATAGGTTTAAACAAAATCTGGCTCCTTCTTTGTTTTTTGTTGCTTTCGTATTTCGTTTCTCGTATGAGGGGCCAAATGTAATCACCCATCAAGGCTGCATCCCAGAAGCCGTGATCCATAGCCTTCATTTGCTGGTGAAAACGTTCTCCGTGCTCATCACTTACGTCGCCCAGATTGTGCGGGTTATTTACGCACTCGAACTCTCTACTTCTTTTACTCATTTTACACTTTTTATTAACTAAATAAAACCATGATAGATATACCTTGTTGAAATATCAAAAAATATCAGTAAAATGTCACTATGCCAACACGAGAAACAAAAGAATTCACGTTTGCGGAGTCATGTCAAATATAAATTTTGAATAATGTTTTCGGTAAAAAAAGTACGTAAAAAACTGAAAAAATTCCAATCATGCACTTTATTTAGGTTTTCATTGAAGAATAAACATATTACAAAATAAATTTAAGGCCTTGTTTGACCAAATTTTTTTTCGATTTTGTAAACTAGTGTAGGTAATTGTTTTGCGAAATTTAATTATACAGGTTAGGTAATTAAACATTAATTTAAATTTATTAATTAAATCCAGCTTAAAACAAACATTAGGCACGTTTCTTGTTATTTAGTAATTAATGCAATTTAATTTTTTATTCAAGTTTTCATTCAGAATACCATAATTTATAATTAGAAAGCAGGAAACGCATTTAATCTGGTTAAATGGTAATAATCCCGTTTAAAATAGTTTGAAGACTAGCATTTTAGAGGTAGCACAAAATGATTTTTAATAATCAACTATTTTATACCTTTACAATACCTGGTTCTTAGCTCGTTTTTTTTAGTTTTAGGATACTTCCTAATTGTAAATTAACATAAATGAAATTTTGCTTAAAAATTTAAAATTTTATCAAATTTCATCGACTACTCCTGCTCCAATTCTTCGTAAAAAGGTTTTTAATTCAAAATTAATTTATTTCTATGTACTATTGCAAAAATAGCATTTTTTACTCTTTCTTTGGCTTAACTTACGAGGTGTGTTCAGAAAATATCGGGAATTTTCGTTTTTTGAAACAAATATTTATTTATTCGTCTACATTAATGTTGTCGCCTTCAAAATAGTCCTCATTGGATATTATGCACATGTGCCAGCTCTTCTTCCAATACTCGAAACACTTCTAAAACTTGGGATAGCCTTTAGTTCTTTCAGCGATGCGCTTTTAATGTCATCTATGCTTGCAAAACGACGGCCCTTTAAGGTTCTCTTTATTTTTGGGAATAGGAAAAAGTCAGACAGAGGCATGTCTGGCGAATATGGAGGCTGGGGCATCATTACAGTATTGTTTTTGGCCAAAAATTGTGTTCAAAATTTAACAATTTTAGAACAAATTTTGCTGCCACGCGTTTCATACCCAAAACATTCGAAAAAATTTCATGGGATGAGCCAATCGATATACCAACATCATCAGCGACTTCTCTGATGGTTTATAACCACTTCTTCCACTTTTTCCATGTTTTTATTGGTTGTTAATGTGTTTGTGCGTTCGGGGCGTTCGTCATCTTCAACGTCTTCACGGCCATCTTGGAAACTCTTAAACCACTTGTAAACTATAGCTGACTCACTATATGCCTTTATTAACATTTCACAAAATTTATTTCATTTTTTAAGCACACCTCGTACTTCATATTTAAAATTGTTGATTTTTTTATTGCTCCAAAGTAGAAAATAATTTTAACTTCCTATGCTGTAAAAACCTAACCTGATTGGTCTTAATCATTAAATGCCTAGGCTATAATAATTATTATAATAAATCGTTTTAGTAAATTAATTTTTTTTTCAAACTGAATTTATCCATTTTAAAAAAAACCTATCCCAATTTCTACTCGTCAAGAAAATGTAACTATTGTTTAGTAACTAGTAATTAAGTAATTAACTTAACAATACAAAAAAATAAATTAATAAAAACATGAAAGGTACTTTTTGAACACGCAATAAATATTAGCCACACAAATTTTCAAAAAATATTATTAAATTGTAACCAAAGCCAAATTAAAAAAATGTCAAATACAAACATCGTTAAGATTGTTATTCCTGGTAATTTTTAAAAAAGTTCAATAACAAATCTTTTTTAACAATTATGAAATAATAAAGTTATTTTAAACTGATAATAAACAACAAATTTCCTGAGACATCAACACAAAAATTATTTTTAGAAATTTTTGAAATTTTTAAAACAAAATTCTAGATATTTAATTAAATTGGCGGGTATTAAACTTGATACCATAATATACTAATTTGTTTTAATACAATATTTAATCTATTTCGGGGATTAATTACACTAGTTTACGAAATCACAATCAAAACGCCAAAACACCTCAGAAAATTAAAAAAAAACAATTGAAAATTCATATCTCGAAAACTCTTCCATGAAAAAAATTTTTAGTGTGATTGTCGCGTTTAGTGAGCCAAACTACACAAGAAAATCATAGTGAGACATGGTGGGCAAAATGGCTGTAAACTAGTTTCTATATTGTAGTTTGAATGATAGATACTGTGAGTGGAAAAATAATAACAAAAAAATTAAGAAAAACAAAATATTTAAACATATTTGTTTTCAACTTTCTTATCCAGATCCAGGTTTGTTTATCTTTTAACTCGTTACTTGGCGCTGCAAATTTTTAAGTGTTCCGCATTCCAAACGGCCAACCTTTGAAGGTCATTCAAAGGGGCACGTAGGTAAATGAACCTGCATCTGAAACAATGTAATTGCATGCTTAGAATAAAATGACGTAGTTCATTTTTTGCATGTACTTGTTATGGTCTTATGTGCTGAATAAGAATTTCCATTGCATTTACTACCAAGTAAACTTTAAAGTATTTTTTACGGTTAACCAAAACGGTTTTATAACGGTATAGATACGAAAAATTACCAAATTTCTGGAATGGTTTATTTCGTTATTTTACCTACATAAATATAAATACCACAAATTTACGTAAAAATAAAGCTATAATTACCAACTGTTTGCTCTCTCTTTCTATAACTTTGACATTCGTAATTTCTTTTTTCTTTTAATTTATATTTTACAAAATGGTACTTACAAAGTAATTAAATTAAAAAATATAACTTAAATTGTCAAACCTAATAATATTTTGCATTAAAACTCAAACGCACATTATTTTATTGATAAAAATAGGCATGATACATCTTAAAAATTATATGCCCTCTAAATATTTTACGGTTTAAGAAAAATTATTGCTTGGGTAAAAATTCAACAAAACCTACAACCTACAAAATTTTATTAAATCTTTTAAAAATCATTTAGATTTAATCATTTTTTAATAACTAAAACTTTCCTTATTATATTTTAGAAAAATATTTATGAAAAATTATTATATAAGTAATGGATGCCATCTTAATAAACTCATTATGGCGACCTGAAATTTTTTTTATTTTTCACTTGATTAGTCAATATTAATAGTATTTATTACCACTAATAACCCTAAAAAATACCTTTATTTATATTTAAAAAATAGTTTGACTATCAATTGTTTTGAGTTAAAAAAATTGAAATATGTAAATTTCTGTTAAAACATCATTAAAGTGCTAAACTTTAAACGAATAAAGCGAAGAAAAAAATAATACCTAGATATTAATTTTTTAATTTAAAATATTGCCCCAATATATTCCATCTTAACTTTATTAATAAGGTTAAGCATGAAGTAATTTTCTTATTTAATGATAAATATACAGAAATTTTAATTAAATAATATGGCATAACTCGGCATAACTAAATAATAATAAACTTGGAATAGTATATTTAATTAGTATTTGGCTAATAATATACAAAATAAAAGTTGCAACGATAGATAATTGACGAAAAATGTAATGATTTTCCACACTTTGTATTACAAATGAAAAAATAAATGGTGTTTTAACATTTTTTGTTTAAAATAAGAAAGAAAGAAATAAAAAAGTTATTGGTAGGTATTTAAAGTGACAAAAAAGTCAACGTAAATACCAGACACCCTGTATAAAATTTTCAAATACTGTTAATGGCTTTCGATAGAGTGATCCTTAGTTAACATGTACACCAAAAATTATTTTTTTAACATTAAAATTAGTGATAATACAGACATATTAGTAAAACTATCTTCTCAATCAGTTTTCAATTATCCAATTTTTTCCAATTTGGGCAGTTTTCAATTACCCGAAACGTTATTTTTAATGTGCAGTTTTCAATTAGCGAGTTTTGTAATATTATCTTCTCAATCAATTTACTTAATAAGGGCAGTTTTCAATTATCCAATTTTTTTCGAAATTGGGCAGTTTTCAATTACCCGAAACGTTATTTTTAATGTGCAGTTTTCAATTAGCGAGTTTTGTAATATTATCTTCTCAATCAATTTACTTAAATAAGGGCAGTTTTCAATTATCCAATTTTTTCCAAATTGGGCAGTTTTCAATTACCCGAAACGTTATTTTTAATGTGCAGTTTTCAATTAGCGAGTTTTGTAATATTATCTTCTCAATCAATTTACTTAAATAAGGGCAGTTTTCAATTATCCAATTTTTTCCAAATTGGGCCGTTTTCAATTACCCGAAACGTTATTTTTAATGTGCAGTTTTCAATTAGCGAGTTTTGTAATATTATCTTCTCAATCAATTTACTTAAATAAGGGCAGTTTTCAATTATCCAATTTTTTCCAAATTGGGCCGTTTTCAATTACCCGAAACGTTATTTTTAATGTGCAGTTTTCAAGTAGCGAGTTTTGTAATATTATTAATATTACAAAACTCGCTAATTGAAAACTATTATATTAATAACTTAAAAAACTAATAGGTGGTAAACCTTTCAAACAAACCTGGATTTCCTATGAAGTCTTCTTTTTCTAGAAGGGCAGAGGGGGTCTGAAACCCGTACGCCGGAAGCCAGGGGTTGCTTCCGGTGTTCAAATCTGCGGGCTGCCCAGGCCAGTCGCTAAAAGCGATGTCTTCCATGTCTCGCAGACATGCACTTAACGCAGAGGAAATGTAAACAAAAAAACTACACCAGTTTTCGAACGAAAATAATCACATGACACAAACACTACCGAGCACTGCAAATTTTCTCGACACAACCGGATTTCTTCCTAGAATTTCAATAGATAAGATTATAGGTAATTGGTTTTATGCATATCTGTGCAAATGGGTGGGTATTTTAGATATTTTTAGATAGGTACTGATTCGTGATTAAATTCTTTTGCAATTAATAATTGCAATTTATATTTATGTATTTTTTACAGAGATTTAAGAAAATACGTTTTTTTAATTATTAAGCAAGGTTTTTAGACATCTAATATAAATTTTATTATTGCCCACTGTGACCACCAAATTTAAAAATAAATCAATAATTGCAATCCACAATAATTGTTTTTACTTTTATTACTTAATATTGAATATTAATTTTTAAACATTGAAAATAGAGCTGATAAAAAATTGATTATAACTTTTAATTTAAAAGTTAAAACCGGTTAAAACCTTGTACAGAATACAGGGGGCTATCAGGAGTTTTTCGTAATTTTCGGAAAGTTTTAGGACATTTTATAGACTGTAGAATTAACAGTTTTGAACAACATGTAAGTTTTATATGTATATGAGTTTGACCTACACTTTTATTGTTTTTTGATCTTTCATAATTGAGTAGATATTATTTTTTACAATGTTTTAAAAGTCTAAAACCTATCCTCCGTGACTGTTACTATTTCTAGGTTAACCTATATGTTTTCAAATATCTGAGGTAGTAAAAGCATTCTAAAAATATATAATTATTTATGTAGGTGTTACAAAAATTGATTCCATCCTCCGTGAATCTGTTTTTGCTTTAAATTTAGAAGAGTTAGAATATATATGCAGATGAGAGTGTTGCTGTTTTATAATTCAAAAGTTTAAGTTCATTAATTTGCTATTTAAAAAACTATCCACCGTGAAGTTTAATATCTCAGTAAGTAGATTTTTTATAAATATTTTATGTATGTACAATTGTACTTTTAAAAAATATTAAGATGTCAAAAGATACAATAACTTATTTCAAATATACAAAGGGATGTTTAAAAAATACATACGAAATCCTAACCTCCGTGAAGCTATCTTTCGTGAAGCTCTAATATTCAAAATGTATGATTTGTTAAAATTCTTGCATTAGTGCAGAACCACTTTTGTTATGATATCACTAGACCCCATTCCAGACTAACAGTTATATTTAGTGAGAAAATATAATGAATTTTAGGATTTAACGAATTGTCAGTTTGACATTTGAAATTAAAATGTGCTTTAAAATATAAAAAGACTTTAATAAACCTTATTTATTCAAGCTTACCTTAATTTTATTATCGTTTACACCAACCCATCGATCTTTTATAGTTTATAATTCATTATTTTAATCATTTAACAAACAAATTATTTAAATGTCAACAAATGTCAAATCAAGAAAAGTGTCAAAATCCTTAGCAACGTGTAAACAAGGTGTTTTAAGACATTGGTAAATGGTAAATTTAGAATTAATTCTTATGGGTTCCTATTTGGTTAAAGTATAGAAAGTTCATATAAGAAAAATACTTAAAACTTGTTAAAATATATAGAGAAACCATGGACAATTAAAAAAATTATTTTTGTTGCTTGGTTTAGGTAGGTAGGTACTAAAACAGAATTGTTAATAAAATGTTTTGATTTAATAGTTTTAGATTGTGGGCGCTCCTATTGGAGCCTCATTGGAATTTATAACAAATTACCTACTACATAAAATACCACTTTACTAGACGCCGCAATATAATTAAGTACTTATCTATTTATTTAGTACATATTTAAGTACTATTTTAATTGGCAAATAATTATGTTGTTGTGATACCGGCCTGTTAGTTTGCAAATCAGTACCTATGTATGTACTAATATCCGTATGGGGGGAATGATGGAATACATTGTGATTAATACAACACATAGCTTACCAAAAAAGACAACACTGCAACACTTGCTGGTATTGGTAAACAAATTGTCACCCGCACTCACTTAAAAGCACCGCGACGCGATTTTGACGTACCGTTTGTTTACTGTGGCGTCGTATTCGCTATGGAAACCGAACAAGAGCCGCAACAAAAAACCCAAGAAACAAGTGGCTGTCGGAGCGAGCGAGCACGTGACGACGGCCAGCCAATGGCAGCGCTTGACCGGTCCGCATGCTTTCGAAGTCGCGTTTACACAGCCCAGGTGAGGCGCAGCCTCCTAGATGATGCTTCTGGTTCTTCGTTCATCGGTGAATGTTGTTGACGGCGAGCCGAAGAACTCGTTTGACCCATATCGCGGCGGATTTGCGTTGAACCGGAAGTCAAATTTTGACCTTCATCCGAAAAGTTACCTTTTAATTTGCATCCTTGGATGAATCTCATCCAAAAAGATGAAAAAAGTCGCTATTAACTTACCCTCTAAAATGCACAATTTTCGAGATACAGGGTGTTGAAATTTTAGAAAAAAATCGTTTTTTCGAATATCTCCGGAACCGTTTATCGTACAAAAAACAGCTTTTGTAAGCATTTTCTACTCATAATAAGCTATATTTTGTGCCAGAAAAAATTTTTTTTTACTCATAATTGGTGGAGATTTTGAAGGGGTAGCGGGTGTTTTTCTCCTCAACTTCTACGCCCCTGAAAAAAGTACGGTTTTGAGAAGCCCATTCGAACCGCCAATGTTTTCTATACAAAAAAGGTACTCTTGGTCATAAGCTCTAAAGTTGACCGTTTTCTACACAAAAAAGGTCATAAACTCTAAAGTTGACCGTTTTCGAGAAAAATCGACTTTTATGTTTAAAAACATGGTAAATTTTTTGAAGTTTTTTTTTATCAATTATACAAAATTTATTTTAACGTTAGAACAAGTAACAAAACCAAACGATAATTGCAAAATTAAAAAAAAATAAAAATGATTCAAAAGTTTTCTTAGCAAAATTCTCCAAACCGTAAAGGTAACGCATTTCGCACATTTCAGCATTTGTGTAAAAAATCATTTTTTATTTTTTTTTAATGCTGCAATTATCGTTTGGTTTTGTTACTTGTTCTAACGTTAAAATAAATTTTGTTTAATTAGTAAACAAATTTTTTTTTCAAAAAATTGACCATGTTTTTAAACATAAAAGTCGATTTTTCTCGAAAACGGTCAACTTTAGAGTTTATGACCTTTTTTGTGTAGAAAAAATTGGCGGTTCGAATGGGCCTCTCAAAACCATACATTTTTCAGGGACGTAGAAGTTGAGGAAAAAAACACCCGCTACCCCTTCAAAATCTCCAGCAATTATGAGTAAAAAAATTTTTTTTCTGGGACAAAACATAGCTTATTATGAGTAAAAAATGCTTACAAAAGCTGTTTTTTATACGATAAATGGTTCCGGAGATATTCGAAAAAAAACGATTTTTTTTCTAAAATTTCAACACCCTGTATCTCGAAAATTGTGCATTTTAGAGGGTAAGTTAATAGCGACTTTTTTCATCTTTTTCACCCTGTATAAAATATTATTAAAATTTTAAAAAAATAATTTTTATAACCATTTTTGTAGGTGTTACAAAAATTGATTCTATCCTCCGTGAATCTGTTTTTGCTTTAAATTTTATGCAACGGATGGCGCTTTAATTATTTTAAATAAGCAAAAACCTCCGTTTACGACATTATAGATGCATATGCATATATGTGATTCCTGAAGGTCAGTTAGAATTTTTATGCAGATGAGAGTGTTGCTGTTTTATATAATTCAAAAGTTTAAGTTCATTAATTTGCTATTTAAAAACCTATCCACCGTGAAGTGTGATATCTCAGTGAGTAGATTTTTTTTATAAATATTTTATGTATGTGTTTTTGAGAATAAAGCCGGAAAATGTTTATGGAGCAAGCACGATTTGGCAACACTGCAGATCAAACTGGCTGCTCCGATCCCAGACTCCTGTGCCTTCTACTAAAGCTACGTTTACACTTTGTAATTTAAAAATAAAGTAAAGTTATAAATTTTGTCTTAAAAATATATCACTTTAAAATTGTTAAAAATAAAAAAAATTGGTTTCAATTTGTAGAGTCGATAAATTTTTAATCCAAAAATTACTACTTTAAAATTTAAAACTTACATTTAATGTAATGTGAGAATTGTTGTATTAAAAATTTATCAACTATCATTTAAATGATTTAATTAAATGACATTTTAAAAATTTAAACCAATAATTTTGTAGAATAAAATATTACAACCAAAACTTTTAAAAATAAACATAAATTTTTACTGTTGCATTTTATATTTAAAATATTTTTTGACCATCAATTGTTTTGAGTTTAAAAAAAATTAATTTTATAAATTTCTGTTAAAACATAATTTAAGTGCTAAACTTTAATCTTTTTTCTACTCCCACCTTTAAAACGCCCTTTATCGTACATGTTTCCATGACGCTAAGTGACCTAGCTTTTAAATACACATTGACAAGTTGTGGCTTTACGGCGCTTTAGTCACGGGCTGAAGTTAGTTGACAGTTGTCAAATGTCATACAATCGTTAAAACAAAGTGCCTTTCTTGTAAAATAATACTAAATGTGAAAATTATTTTATTATCTCAATACAAAAATATTAAATAGTTTCTCAACGCCAATATTTGAAAAGTTTATATGAACATTGTACTGACCTTTTAATTTCGCCGGCAGTAAACTATAACTTAAATTCGGGCACGGACTCTACTGTAAAGTCCTCATAAAACATTTCCTTTACTTTCACTGTGAAAAACTGTCAATTTTCAAGATACATTTCGATTTATAACCTTTATAATTGTGTTTATAAAATGTAAAAATGTGACATTTAACAGTTTCCCCTGTTGTTTCATAGATGGCGCTCTATGCAAATTTTTGATTTGATTATTTTAAGATAATAATAAGTATTTGTCGTAGAAAAAGTATAGTATGCACATCGTTTATAAACTTTTCTATACACTCATTAACTTAAGCACTCGCTCGCAAGCTCGTTCGTGCCTAAATTAAATTCGTGTATAAAATGGCGTTTATCATAATATACTATTTTGACTATTAATTGTTTTGAGTTAAAATACACACACTAACGTAACTATATAAGCATTTAAGCGTTGAGTTTCTTAATCAATGATATAAGGAATAATCAATCGAAATCGGCTCTCTGGGATGGTAATAAAACACTTGTGTACTTAAAAAATTTATTCTGTTAAACCTACGTCATCAACTTATGTTTATCCCCTCGCAATTTGCGCACCATCTCCCGGTTAAGTTTGTCCTTATTCTTCTTGTACCATTTCAACCATTCGGCAACCATCGGGTTGTTTTTATCCCCGTGCACCTCGAGCTGCTGCGCGTAGGCAGATCGTATGATCCTTAGACAGCTGCTGGTGTGATAAGGCACACAAGTAACAGGGTCAACGTATTTAGCATGTCGCCCCGTTATGGCACACGTCAGCTTTTTGGGGAGAGATGGGGGCGCTCGAATGTTGAACATTTTCCTGTACACGACGTCATGGGGGTCGTTTTGTATTGTGATAAATGTTCGTCCGCAATATGTCTCTGTATCCCCAATTTTGCTAAAAGTTTCGTTAATAAATAAATAACAGTAGGCTGTGAGAGCAAATTCAGCGCTGCCAACGTAGTAAAAATAAAACGCTGTATTTTAATCAACAAATTAATACCAAAATTTAAACTTAAGTATCAATAAAAACTAAAAACAACGTAAAAAGTAAATAAGTTACAATAAGAATTGTTTGTTTAATGTCATAATGGAAAAATTAAGGTTTGAAACTGTCATATTTTTGTGGTTCTCAAGTTGGTATCACAAAATTTGAAATGACATTATAAACAGTGTTTTTAAGATTACCATAAAAAAATACTGTAATATACAATTTTCAAGGCATCAACAGAGTTTAAAAACTAATTTTTGAATGAATCTATGGAAAATAACACTTCTGTGCTATTTCCCACATACTACAAAAAGTCGAGAAACGAAGCTCTCAAGATACAAAGTAAAAAATGGGGCATGAAAACAAATGTAAGTCTAAAAATTATTTTCTTGAAACCTCATGATTTTTTTCTATGTAAAAAACTGTTTTTTCATCTCTATTTATTATGCTTCACATTAAAAAGTCCCACTTTGACATTTGAATAAGTCAAATAAGACGAAATTGGCAGATACATAACCTCAATTATATGACTTTAAGTGCTAGGATTTAAGTGGGACTTTTTGATGTTTTAAAACGCGAAAACCTACCTGGAATTAATATCTTTTATTACAGGCATCCTAGTCGATTTATATTGAATGACGGGGCCTGTAAAAGCTTTTTTATCTGATCTCTTTGTCTTTTTTTCACTTTCCATTTTCTGATATTTTTCTAAAAAAAAATGCCTGTAAAACAACTAAACAATAAAAAAAAACAATTTTTAATGTCTCTAAAATGTGGAAATAATAATAATACCTAGAGACATAATATTCTCAACTTCAGTAATCTTGGCTTCGGCTAATAATTCTTCCTGAGTTGGTATCCATTCTTCCTCCTTTGGTTTTTTAACCTTTTTTTTTTGCTCCAAATTTCTTACTTTTATTCTTTGAGCTGTCGCTGCAGATTTGGCAGCCGTTGATTTTCTTATTGACTTTCTTTCTAAAAAATTGACAATAAAAAAGTTTTGCTCACAAAAAAAATTCAACATACCATAACTATCGTTTTGTTGCTGTTGTTGGGCAGGCGTTAAGGTTTTTACTTTTGGCGTGGTAGGTTTGAGGACCTTGGCTTTCGGTTTTTGTGTGGTTTGTTTTGGAGGTTCCTTATAAGCTTTCGTTACAAGAAGCCTGCGCTTCTTCTTTTGCCCCTCCTCTTCATTATCAGAAATAGGCTCGTCATTTTCGTCGATACTAAAGTCAGAGTCTACAACGTCTTCCTCTTCTTTCTCGGCTCTAAAAAAACATTTATATAAGTCACCGAGCAAGGGAAAATAACCTCAAATTAACCGGTATTCGTTATCCGATTCCGTTTCGACGAAACCGCCGTAATTTTCCTTGTAAAATTCATCTTGACATTCTTCCTCTTCGTCCAGCAATTTCGACATGCGATTTCCCGCATTTGAACGTCGTTCTCGGCCTGTAGCCATTTCTACGTTGTTTTATCACCAAAACACTTTTTATTCTCTATCACAGAATATTATAAACTATCTATGATCATTATTTATGCAGTATTACAAAAATAAACAGAGTTTTTGACAGCACTTAGTGATATTTGACAGCATTGTTGTTTGCAGAGCAGTGTTGCCAACAGTATGTTGATATTTTCTTCCCCATCCAAGGATACATTTACAGGATAGTCAACCCACAAATTATCCTTAAAAACAACGTTTAAATTCTGTATAAACAGCACAAGAATTGTAAACAACATAAAAATGGCCGCGGTCAGTGTCTGTGCAATGGGTTGCCTAACTTCGTGATTTAAAATCACTGATTTTTGGTACGCGCCACAGTGTTTCAATTCTGGAAAATATCGGCAAAACCTCAAAAATTGACATTTTTTTCAGGTAAATTTTTAGTTAGATGGGTAGTTAATACCTGTCTCCATCCTGTATTGAAAAAAAATTATATAAAATACGTATATTTTGCTTGTACATCAGTTTAAACTTGACGCTTTCAGTTGAAGGTACTTTACACGCGATCGCTGCGGAAAATTGTTTATTGTTTAAAAGTGAATAACTTGTGTTTGGTGTGTCCGATTGTTATGCGGTTTGATGAAGGGTGATCTTCAAGGTATCTAAAATTCAGATATGTATTTGTTTTTCGTAGATTTTGCTTGTACAACGGGTTATTGTAACCGACAAGATCGGTCCGTAAAAATCGCAAACTTTGAATCGAGCTTTTAGAACAATGGAGCTACATAAATTGTAATGAATCAGTTCAAGATCCGTTGAATAGCTTAGAGTTTTGTCTATCAAGACATCAATAAATTAGCTGCCCCAACTTGCCCCCGCGGCTCTTTAAAACTACATGTTCTTGGGCGCTTAGGCACGGTTGTGGTAAAAAACGATTTTAAGCCCATGTCGAGCGCGTATCTGTGTTTTTGCTTTACAAAATTTAAGATTTTTTTATTTCTGGGTTGCGTTCATGACGTTTACTCGATTCACTAGGATTTAACTCAAAACGTTTATTACAACAGCGGTGTCTAGACTTTCACTTGCGTAAATCGTTCGTGACTACTAAGATATTTAACACCGATTTTACATATTTAACCCCCCTCTTGTAGGTGCGTTAAAACAACTCCGCATGCGCATTGTAGTGTGTTAATGTCAAATTTGAATTGTGTTGACAATTTTTTTAGCGAAATAAGAAATCGTTGCTAAAATATTAAGTAAAAGAAATATTACAAATTTAAAATACTTAGTATAAAATCTGTTATATTTAAATTTTATAAATAAATTTTGAAAGTTTCTCGGGAGAAAACGATGGAAGATGTTTTCCATTAGCTTATGGCATCTTCCGATCCGTATATTTCTAGCTTCAGAAAAATTGCTCCGAAAAAGAGCAAATCTTTGTCCCGCGAAGCAATAAAACTGTTGCTATCTTCTGATGGTTTCCCATGCTCTGCTAATGATACAACGAGCAAATCCAATGACGGAGATTGTTTAATATATATGTAGGGATTAAATAATATCATATAAATGTAATTATAATAAACTAAATGAAGCTATTTTATAAAAAAATGTTTTATTACATTTTAAAAAGAACCTCTTAGGGATTTTTAATTAATTTCGACAATATTTGATACAAATGTCCGCCATTTAAGGTCTACCATTTTGAATTTTGGAATTCTGATTTCAGATTCATTATCAGCGACCACAAAAACCCTTGTATGGTGATTTTTAATTAACTCCGTCAATTTTTTTACAAATATGTCCGCCATTTTGGATCTACCATTTTGAATTTTGGAATTCTGCCGAAATTTCGAGAATTGAAACACTGTGCGCTCTAAGCAGGACAGCCAAGAACACATTCCACCAGCAAAAAAACAATTTTTTCTGCGGTTGAACGTCAAAGTTTTGACACTTGCAAGAACGTAGATTGACTATAGAATTGGTCTGGGATAAAAGTGGCTATATGGACCCGGCAAACTATGAAAGGGTTTTGGAGTACATTAGGAAAGGAAGAAAGGGTGGTGCCGCCTATTTCAAAGACGATGTAAGAAAAGTTCATTACGTTCTTGTGCTAAACATGACTTCGGCATACACAAACTTTGCCATTATCAGTGAGTACATCAGGAATCTGGAAGATAAGGGATTGGAATTTGAGCAGGATCTGGGAATTGTAATTGATTTTAATATTACTTAGTGATCATGAATTTTAAAAACCGCACCAAATAGGACCTTATTTAATATTGAGGTTATATCTACAGTTCATTTTTTTATTTGGACGCAATTTAAACTAATATTTATAGCTAGATGATTGGCTCAGAAGCATGCCTGAACTAATTTAGACTCACGATTGGCGTTAGCCTTGTTGTCTCGTTCTATTACAATGCGATATCATAGTTGTCTCCTTCTCTCGTATTAGCATACGCGAGGCAGGCACGCCTACATCCAAGGAAATAAGCAGGTGTTGTGGCAACACTGTTGCGGAATTTTAGATAAATTATACTTTGCACGTTTTTTAAAATTCAATAATAAATGGTAATATTTTTCTTATAATAAATCGATTTAATCGAAATTATATTTCTATTCTAAAATAAACATATTTTAACACTATCGCCATCTTGTAGCCATCACAGTAACCAATAAAATAAATACAGATTCCTTCCTTAGGTTTGTTTTGTTTATAAAATTCTGAACTGTTTAAAGAACAAATCTGTGGTTATTTACGCAATATTTTATTTATTCTTTTCCTATGAGTTTGTCTATTTTATGATTCTTTTGTAAGTGGTTTATTCTGTGGGTGTAGTTAATTGAACTTGGTGATTTATGTGAATTTAGTCATTATTACATTTAAATTATTCGAATTTGAAACGACCGCAATTTAAACTAATATTTATAGCTAGATGATTGATTGATTGATTGATTAATTTAGACTCACGATTGTCGTTAGCCTTGTTGTCTCGTTCTATTACAATGCGATATCATAGTTCTCTCGTATTAGCATACGCGAGGCAGGCACGCCTACATTCAAGGAAATAAGCCGGTGTTGTGGCAACACTGTTGCGGAATTTTAGATAAATTATACTTCGCACGTTTTTTAAAATTCAATAATAAATGGTAATATTTTTCTTATAATAAATCGATTTAATCGAAATTATATTTATATTCTAAAATAAACATATTTTAACACTATCGCCATCTTGTAGCCATCACAGTAACCAATAAAATAAATACAGATTCCTTCTTTAGGTTTGTTTTGGTTATAAAATTGTGAACTGTTTAAAGAACAAATCTGTGGTTATTTACGCAATATTTTGTTTATTCTTTTTCTATGAGTTTGTCTATTTTATGATTCTTTTGTAAGTGGTTTATTCTGTGGGTTTAGTTAATTGAACTTGGTGATTTATGTGAATTTAGTCATTATGGATATTACGGTGAGAAATTGTACCGATATTGTTGATCTTCACGTGGTTCTTGCTGAACGATGAAATATTAATTAGACAAAAATGAGGTTTTTTTAAAATAAACGTCATTTTTACAATACATTGACAAAGTAGAGGATTCCTTCCCCACCACAGTCTAAGTTTTTTACTTAGTTTTAAGTATAGGTTGTGAACTGCGACGTCAGTTTTTTTAAGTTGGGTTTAAAAAAATTTCTTCGCCTTTAAATGAGGGCGAAACCCTGCCTCTGCCTCACCAAAATGAAATGTCACGGGCCGCCACCTTAATTAAATACTCTGACACTGTCAAATTGACAGCAATATTTATTATTATTATTATCCGATAGGAATACTTCGTCTCTCCTGGGCCGTAGTCACCTATATTTAACTACTTTTTATATGATTTTACTCATCTACGCACCACCAAAGCCAAATCAACTTGTCTCAACCGTCCAGATAAAAAAAAGAACTTTACTTTGGGTTGGAATTTCCCAAAAAATTGATACATTTTTCAGACAATTCCTGTGATGTTTGTGAAGATCCACATAACGCATAATACCACTCAAGCGTATTTTAATATGTACGGAATGATTCCGGAGTTCCACGAGAATTTCGATTATGGGATACGATCCAAAAAGTGTCGTTTTTTCAGGAATCCAATTGCAAGGAAGAACGTTTTCAAAGACATACAGTATTTCGCAAAGAAAATCGCCATAAAAAATCATTATTTATACAAAAAGTCTGCAAAAAGAAAAAACGACCAATGACAAAAACATATTTTTTTATAAATTATGATTTTTTTTCTAAACTACAAACAAAAAACTTTACATCCAATGTTTCAGAGCCAGCGAACTGTCATACATAAAAATAAAAATAATCGAGTTGCTGCTAAAACAAACGCAATTCGGCGTAGGTGAGGACAAAAAGGGTATAAAGAAATTGGTGACTCTTGGAGTGGTGCAAGATTACTATGCTCTTCACACAGGAACCATTCAGTACGAGTATTGGCACAATGACGATTTACTAAATGATAGAACCGTACGAAACCTTATTACTAATATATTGTGAATAAAACACAGCTAACGGAAAAATATAGAAGTGTATATGATGTCTCCCCGTTTGAATACTAAATCTTAAAGTTTTATCAGAACTGTATTGAATCGTGCTTTGTTTTTATATTTTTCGCCTCTATACCTATGCACGACCATATAAAGTCAAACTCAATGGTGTCTTGCAAGATACATTATTTTGATTTTCTATATTCAACAGAGAGGTAGAAACGCGACCCTGTCGAATAGCGCAGTCATTTATGTCTCTAGAAATTATTGAAAAAAGGGACAGTCCAATGGTGCAGCAACTTTGGATTCCTATCCAAAGACTGGCAATGATTTTCGTTAATGTCCCCGAGAATTATAAAAAACTGCGCAATGCAATATCGCAACGGTTTCGACTTCTCTTTACTCTACCAAGTTATAGAAACTGGAGTCTCTCTAATACAGTTCTAGTCAATATTTCTGAGAGCATAAAAAGAGGGTGTAATTCAATATTGCAAGAAGTTTTGATCTTTTGATGGATGCAAGTATTTTGAATATTCTTATTTCTGCATATGATTTTGTTGAAAACAGTTCCTTTCCGATTTTTTTTACAGTAACAACTCAGGTATGTAAAGCACAGAGGATATGATGTAAAGTATTATATAAAGTACCTATATTTGTATTAATAATTTCAGAGGTTGTAATGAAAAAACGATCGATATGCTATTAAACTTTAATAATTTAGTAATGAGGTCTGTTGGTAGACCCTGCACTATCTCCACTGGTATATGTTAGTACAGCAATATTTAAATCTGGTTGATCAAAAAGTATATTAATACTAGTTCAAAAGTCAAATTACCACCTCTATACTATGGAGAGTATTGAAACGCTCGACTGACGAATACAACTCTATACCGTGGAGAGGGTTTAGAAAACTGTATTCAAACGTGGCGTCATCCAA